AAGGGGTGTAGCGCACCCTGTGATCAGGACTGTCTTTTTGTCTGCTGGGATGCCCATTCTGTCGATACTGCACTGGAAGTAGATGTCGAACGGTGGAGAACGAGGAAGCTGTGGTGAAAGCGTTAAACGTGTCAGCTCTCAGACCATTTTACGAGATGAATCCCGAGGTAAATTGAGCTTAAATTGGTCAAGAGAGACATGTGGGCCGCTCATGTCCGCAGCCCGCGGATTTCCGCCCAGTACCACATTATTCGGCCGAGTCCTTAGTAATCTACTGGATAAGTCCATGCAATAGGAATCAAGAACCCCGGGCGAAGGGTTTCGACGCTTCGACCAGTCGCATGGCAGAACGACTCCAGTGCATCCTATCGAATGTGCCTTAATTACTACATAGCTACATGTATGGATCCATAACGTGCAAGCTCCAGTGCCACAAGAGCGGAATGCAAGGTGGTCTTTTGAGACACTCACCATAAGGACTCTTGAGCACCCGTAGGCCGTAGCATGGGCTGAAGACTCGAGAAGACACCAAAAGCTTAGCAATATGCTGTTATGTGCTGAGCGGTGACTAGGTCAGAAGCCTACAGTTGACAACTTGTAAGGTAGCGAAGATGACGTGCTGTTAGCTCCAAGGCCTTGTGTGACTTTCTAGCGGCAAAAGTCGTGTTTTTAACGGGCCATTTGTGCCGGTGCGACAAGGTCGGAAAGTCGGGGAGTTTCCAGGTTTCCGTGCCATCATATGTTTTGCCAGCCGACGGGATCAGAGGTTCGCCGCGGAATGTCGGCCACGATCTTTGCTCTCGTGAGAACGTTTTGCGATTGCCCCTCTTGGCTCTTGGCTGGCAGCCTGGCTGCGGTCTATCCGCGTATCGAATGCACCGATAGATCAGCTACGACTGCACACAATCAAAAGTACCAACTACGAGTCTGGAAAACATGGTCGCGTCATGCGTCAGCTGTGTGCATGGCCCCCGCACGTCACATTGCGGAGAAGCTGGGGAAAGGGAGCATGGTGACTGGGTTCTTGGAACTACCGACAAATCAATGCGGGGTCGCGAGTCTCTTGGGTTGCATGCTAATTGTTTGGACATCGGTTCATCCCATGAGGTTCAGAACTCAACCGTTATGCTTATTTGTTGCAAAGCAAGCAATTCTGCGATGGCAGTTGGTCCAGTCTTGACTTACTAATCTTTGCTTACACTTGTGAGCCTCCAAATTGCCAATAAGACGCCAGCACTCGCGTGCCATTGTTATTTGAAGGTTTGGGCAGTTAGATGGGACAAGTACCTTGGTGAGTTCCTTGCCGTGGGCCGGATTATCCGGCTTTTGGTGTAAGGCCAAGAGCCCCCATTAAGATCAACACCCGATCCTAGATGCCGTCAGAAGGTGTCAAGGATCCTACCTCACAGTCTGGGGACCCCGCAAACTGATGGCAAGATCCACAGACTTCGGGTTGATTAAGACGAGCAGAGGGGTTAGGAATTCCTAGCTAAGGCTAGCACTCAAGCATAACTTCGACAACGGGATAGCGACGGCCGAGTAACTGCAATAATGTTTGAGTTATGGCAAGTTCAAGGGTATGGATACACGGGTGAATGCTCCCCGACAAGCCTCGGTGGACTTGGTATAAAATTATATTATTTAATGTCCTCCTAGGGCCACAATATATATATATATATAGCCTAAATTGCGGCATCATTTAGCGGTTGTCGATACAAGCCTTTCTAAGCCTTTATTCGCTAAGTTAGGTGGAGTTATTGAAGTACTCTCTCTTCATCATGGCTGTTTTGATATCTCAGCTTTCTTTCGAGCACCATCGACAAGCTCTTGGCATTGCCGAATCAGAGCCTCGCATCTCATGGCGATTCTCTGGCAATGCCGTTGACTGGGAGCAGAGCGCCTACGATCTGGAAATTCTCAAGGGGTCAGATCCCCCAACCATCCACAACTTTAACTCGACTGAGTCTCTCCTTGTTCCATGGCCAGCGGCAGCTCTAGAATCGGCCGAGCAAGCTAGAGTACGAGCTCGGGCCCACGGTAGACCTGGCCAACTGTCTACGCCCTGGTCAGATTGGGTCACGGTCGAGACCGGGCTCCTCAACTCTTCAGATTGGGCCGGGGCTGTCCCCGTCGCTGCCGAAAGGGAGACTGAAGTTAAAGCTCCTAAACGTCCGGTCTATTTCAGAAAACCATTTCTTGTCAACGCCAATGTCACTCGTGCACGGCTCTACATTACCGCATTGGGGCTTTACGAAGCAGAGATCAATGGCCGTCGGGTAGGTGATTATGTTCTTGCCCCCGGATGGCAATCATATAACTACCGGCATGTGTACGATACCTACGACGTCACGGAACTTATTTCCAATGGAGACAATGCAATTGGTGTTGCAGTCGGTGAGGGATGGTTCTCTGGTAGACTCAGCTACGGTGGCGGTGTCAGAAACAATTATGGAGACACCATCGGCCTTCTCAGTCTCCTAGTCGTCACTCTTGAAGATGGCACCAAGATTATGGTGCCGAGCGACGCGACCTGGAAAGCTAACACTGGTCCACTTATCACTTCCGAGATTTATAACGGCGAACATTACGATTCCACACTAGAGGCAGAGCTGGAGGGGTGGTCATCTGCAGGATTTGCCGCCGACGACTGGCTGGCGGTGCGAGAGTTACCCGCACTCAAAGGCGCTTTAGTCCCTCCCGATGGACCTCCTGTCAGACGACTTGAAGAAAGAAAGCCCGAGTCCATCTTCGCATCTCCGTCTGGTAAGACGCTTATCGACTTCGGGCAAAATCTTGTGGGCTGGCTGAGACTTACGGTCTCTGGGCCTACCGGTACGAACATCACTCTCCACCATGCCGAAGTTCTCGAAGATGGGGAGCTCGCTCTTAGACCACTTAGGATTGCCACCGCGGCCGACTCTCTTATCCTGCACGGTAACGGCACACAAACATGGGAGCCACGTTTTACCTTCCATGGTTTCCGTTATGCTCAAGTCGATGGTTGGCCACAGGAAACTCCTCTTACCGCTGACTCCGTCACTGCTGTTGTTGTCCACAGCGACATGGAGCAAACCGGCTGGTTCGAATGTTCCAATCAGCTTCTCAACAAGTTCCATCACAACGTGCGGTGGTCCATGAAGGGGAACTTCTTATCGATCCCCACCGATTGCCCGCAACGTGATGAGCGACTTGGATGGACTGGTGATGCTCACGCCTTTGCTCCAACGGCCAACTACTTGTACAACGCTGCTGGTTTTTGGAGAGGCTGGCACAAAGACATCTGGTCAGAAATGCAGCGAAACAACTCAATGGTGGTTCCATTCACCATTCCAACGATCCCCCCTGGAGGTCCCGCTACTCCTGCCGCAGTCTGGGGAGATGTAGCTGTCGCGAACCCCTTCAACATTTACCAAGCATTTGGTGATGTTGGTCTTCTCGAAGAGCAATACCTTCAGTCTCAAGCCTGGATTGATACGGGCATCAGCCGTAACGACGTTGGGCTTTGGAACCGCAGCTCTTTCCAATTTGCCGACTGGCTTGACCCCAAGGCCCCCTCAGATGCCCCGGGGAACGCCACCACTGCGAAGCACCTGGTCGCCGATGCGTATTTGATCCATATGACTGATTTCCTCGCCAACATGTCTGCAGCTTTGGGACGTGACGAAGCGGCCGACCAATACCGAATTCAACGGAAGGATCTTATCTCAGCGTTTCACGACGCCTGGATCCAGGATGGTGTCCTCGCAAACCAGACTCAGACTGCGTACGCCGTGGCTCTCAACTTCGGTTTGTTCACTGATGAAGAACAGCAATCAGCTGCTGCCGAGAAGCTGCGACAGATCGTTGCAGACAATGACTACCTTGTTGGCACAGGCTTTGCGGGCACTCCGCCTCTCGGGTTTGCTCTCAGAGACATTGGCGCCACTGAAGACTTCTATCGCATGCTTCTTCAGACTCGAGTGCCTTCTTGGCTATATCAGGTGGTTCAAAATGGGACAACCACTTGGGAGAGATGGGACAGTCTTCTCGCAAATGGTAGCGTCAATCCTGGCGAGATGACCAGCTTCAACCACTACGCGTTTGGCTCCGTTGCCAACTGGATGCATCAAGTCATTGGTGGTATTGCTCCTGCGGAACCGGGCTGGAAGCGAATCACTGTTGCCCCGATTCCTGGCGGCAACATTACCAGTGCTGATTCGAAATACATTTCACCTTATGGAGAAGTTAAGGTCCAATGGTGGTTCGAAAATAATGAGGAAGAAAATGCCGTGCATCGTGATGGATTCCACATGGTCGTCGAAATCCCTCCTAACACAAAGGCTGACATCACGATGCCCAATGGGGGGAAGTCAACTGAAGTGGGTTCTGGATACTATGAGTTCCATGACCCAAGTTATGTTTTAGTTTGATTCTGTCCATCCAAATCCTGTTATTGTCTACCCGTCAACGAGTTCTGCGGTTCGCCCATTCAATTCTGTTTTGTCTCAGCGGGTGAATGATACAATTTTAGGCAACTGAGGTCTGTACCAGCTTGGTGAACCAATGTCCCATGTGCCTCTGACTACCGCCAGTATTTTGGTCTCACCTTGAACTGACGTACGAGTTTAACACTGGTGTAAAGTAGTGAATTGCCCGGAAACCCCTCCTCAGCAACCTGTGGCCTAAGCCCGTTGAGAAGGGGTTTTCATGAGTATTCGGGCTAGGATTTGGAATAATTCAATAGCATGATCGAGCAGTGGTCTTAGACCCCAGTACTTAAGACTTGATTGGACCTCAATCGAGACTTCAATGTGCAATCGTGGTTGTATTCAGTCAACACTTCTCGTTCTAGAGGGAAACACCAACGTAAATATCGCGCTGCGCCCCCAACAACTCAGTATTTGCGATTGATCCCGAGTGATCTTGAGCCTCATTATCCCTGGTTTGTGTTCTCTTGCTCAGACTTACATCGGAGTTGAGAGACCCGGAAGCCAACAGAACCCATCTTGACGTGAGTCTGTCTACATGGGAAGATAGGACTCATCGGCGCTGGTTTCAGCGCGCTTCATGGGGTCATAAGACTCGTCGGCACTGGTTTCAGCGCGCTTCATAGGGTCGTAAGATTCATCTGCGTTCGTCTCTGCCCGCCTCATTGGGAGGTATGATTCGTCGGCGCTGGTCTCGGCCCTCTTCATCGGCAAATAAGACTCGTCGGCACTGGTCTCGGCCCGTATCCTCATGGGGAGGTAGGATTCATCTGCACTGGTTTGAGCTGTTTACACTTAGCTTATGAAACCAATCTCCAGCCAAAAACTCCAGTCTATCACCGACGTACCCTGACCTGAATGAGGAATAGCAGGCAATGCAGCAATGCAAGCCGCCAGTGCCGTTAACAAGACGATCACCTTCATGTTGTAATATACGTAGACTTCGGCGAGTCAAGAGAATGCTTTAGAATTGTAGTGTGAATCAAAAAAATAATTGGTCTGAAAGAACAGGAAAGGTCGAGGTCTTCTAGTTGGAAAATGGCGAACAGCGTTGGAGCTGTCTCTTATGATCGACTCCCCGTGAGACAAATCGGTCACGCTTGAAAATAGTGGAAAGCTTTCGGTTCGTATACAATGCCATCAGGAGCTGGAACCTTGCAAGCTGACCTGCGAGATAAAAGAGGCAGGTGCATTTAGATGACTCTCGCAACTGACGAATCGTGGTTTCACCAGTCAGAATTAACAAACTGTGGCTTCACTTGCACAACTTCCAAGACTCAATTTTACAGGGTAGTCAATGGTGGCAAAAAAGTAAGCTAAATGTTGAAGGATCTGTCCAGTCTTCATTGGCATTTGAAGTAGCCGTTTAGAGTCATGCTTACGAGCACCTCCATCGTTGACCTTCCGAATTGAAATTAGTTTCCCGCCCCACAGCCATAGGATCTAGTTGCATAGAGCTTGAACGGAGACCCAGAGACTTCGTGGTCTTTCAGCCGGCGTTCGAATTCTCAGCCATGCTCTCGACATCGAACTTGCTGCCTTCTCTTGTCCGTACAGGTTAAACTTATCCAGGTCGAGATTCTAATCCCGAAGGGTGGAGCAATCAGCCTTCATTCAAAAGTTTGTTTTCCAGATTCGGGTACAAACGCAATGCGAATTGTTTCGTGGTATAAAGGTTTGTTTACTATGTGGAAAGTGGTTTAGTTTTGTCATACCCACTGAGCGCCAGAAACTTGCTTTCCTCGCTGACTTCCCATTGATCTTCATCGAAGGCAAACTCCATATGCAATGCGACGACAGGGGCACACGTAACAGGATGGTGTATTGGTATCAGATTGGTTCGTCCGGACTCGAAAAGCGAGCCACTGTCAGACATTGGACTTGGTCAGCGGGGGTTCTTCCGGCTGGGTATAGTGTTGACGCTCGAAGGATTTGGATGCACCGACACATTCGTCGTCCGGCCATTCAAGTCGTCTGTTTCACCTCTGACGGAGGTAAGCTCAAAACGCCATCGCAGATAAGATGACCTTCACTGTACAGACCTTCCAGATCTGGCGGAAAGGATTATCATCAGCACATGTCCCGCTTGGGTCGTTAGGCGGGACATGCCCACATCTGTGACTGTGGCGGAGTTTACAGAGCTTTGTGATCCCTCACGAATCCTTCCAGCTTTGATCTGAAGACGCTATCTCGTAGCAATTTGCAACACCCACTCGGCGTCTTCCCTTCATCTGGTTTCGTCTACCATTTGGTCGTTCGGACGGCTCAATTGTCCTAGTCTCCTTCACCTGCAAATCTCATTCTCTGCTGTTGTCGGGCCTTTGACAGACTTCCTATCTGCCTCACCTCCAGACGCTATCGAGAATTCAGCTCAAAGATGGGCCGAAATCACAAAGAGTACGCGCCTGTGTACTCTGATGAGAGTCTAGCATCGAGTCGTGAAGCTGTCGAGGCCGCAGTTGCAGCAGCAAACATACGGCACACATCAAAGCTTCATAGATTCGGGGTGTGGACTCTCCATGCCGTCTTGATCACCATCTACACCGCAATCTTTGCTGTTTCATTATTGCCCAACAGACCATTTTCGGGAGTGTTTAGTTTGATAGATGGTAGGTTTCACATTGTTGAAATGTCTGCTTGATCCCAGGCCCAGAAACTCACTATGGTACAGCACCGCCAAAGGCTGTCGGCGAGAAGACTCATCTCGAAGTCTTCCCTATTCAAGGTCCGCCACATGGCAAATACACGGGTGAACCAAGACCAGAGGTAGATCAAGCATGGAGGGACTTGTTACAGTGTAGGCCACTACTGAATCTACATGGAAGTACATGTACTAATCTGAGTCGCCTACCTCAGATAACAATATCCGAGTTTCCGAAGAATGGGTACATCGTTGGGGACGGGAGCATGAAGCGGTCAAGCTACCCGATGGCGGGTATCTTGGCATGCTCAGTGTCTTCCACGAATTGCACTGCATTGCAAGTTATCTTCTGCCCACGCCGATTATCTGAGTAGAGTTAACCAGATGTACAGAAGCGTCTCTACCAAACGCTGTCGCCCGACTACTACTTTCCCAACGCAACTAAGCAAGAAATCGCTACGAATCGAGAGCATAACCGTGAGTTTGTCAACGAGACCGCGTAGTCGTCGAACCTGGGATAGTACTAATCAACACCACAGAGCACTGTCTTGAGGTCCTCCGCATGGGTGCAGCCTGTCGTGGTGACATTTCCATCATCACCCACATGTGGACTGACATCGACGCGAAGCCCATCGTGAACCAAACGGCGCCTCACCAATGTATTGACTTTGACAAGGTCATGGACTATTCTCGGGACAATACAGTAGATGTATACAAGGACAACTATATCGTCCACCCGAAGTTTGGTGCGTTTGTCACTCCGCAATGATTAGAATGTGCGCTCACCATTAGTAGGACCTTCCTTCCCCAAGGGCAATAGCATCAAGCCCTTTAAGGAGCAGGGAATGGGGCACCATCATTAAAGGCAGGGAGGTTAGGCAGTCCCTACACTTGATCAAAAGTCGGATGGGCCAGGTTCATGGTGCCGCAACTTCCGATTATAGGTCATGCCATTCAATGCTGCAATAGTGGCCTCTAGCCATCAGATTTGATATGTCCATTACCTTGAACATGGCATCGTTTTTCGATTTGCACGATAGATAGCGCCGAGAGAACTCCACGTGTGCGTTAATTGAGACTTCAGCAAGGCAATGTGGCGATTTCCTAACAATCTATAAGCATTCATGTTGGGTTGTGACATTGGGACTCTGACAATAGGCAAGGTACCTTGGGCACTTAGCTCATTACTGTGCGGAATCATCTTTGAGGATCGGGCAGGTAAGGTACCTTTTAGGCTGCCCCACTCCACACCGAGAAGATACCCAGATTAGCCTTATCTATTGGTTGTTGACCGATAGTCACGTGACCTCGAAATGTCTGCATCGCAAAGCCAGAAAAAAAAAGTTTCTCCAGCCCAGGCGTTGCACAGTGATCACCACCCACCGACAATTCTACGCTCAACCCGACCACATCCACCCGATTTCCACGATGCATTTGATGTACACTCTCGATGAGGCGGGCAGCCGTGTCTACACCCTCAAGAAGGTTGTCGACGGCAAGGTCACCAAGTCTGCTCACCCTGCCCGCTTCTCTCCCGATGACAAGTGGTCGCGCCAGCGCGTTACGCTCAAGCGTCGCTTCAACCTTCTGCTTACGCAGCAAAGTAAGTTTTGCGCCTCTTACTCGACCGGAAACCAATCTAATCATGATTTTTCCAGAGGCCGAGTAAATGTGTAAATCGCACAAGAAGCAATCGAAAAACCATACATCCGTCCACTCGATCCCAGCTCGTTCACGACACCATGCGCCGCTGAGAACGACTCATCCACAACAAATAGAACATGAGACATGGTCTGGCGCGGAGGGAGGGTCAACGAAGCCCTTGACAGCTGTTCAAGGCTCGTGAATACAAGCCCAGGTATACAAAAATCGGCGTTGGGGAAAGGCTTGCATTCAGGGGATCATCGGAGTCTTTTTACTAGGTCCGTGTTACGATAGATTGCTCTGCAATTCCTACAATCAGAGCGACACATCCAAAATCCAACCTCGTTTTTTTCTTGTTCCCATTCCGTTCGACTTTTTGCGTTTCGCGGCCCTCTTCCTGCCTTTTAAGGGGTCTATCATGGTATCATGCAGAACATATAAACATCAGCTTCCAACCCACCTACTGCCTCTCATCTCCTCCTACGACCGTTAATGTTTCTTCCTGGACCCAGTCGCACCTTGCCGTTGGCACCGGTTTGGCGGTCACCTGTGAGAATGCTCGGAAGGTAATCCTCGTCCATAAGATCTCTCCGCCGAGCACGGCGATTGTCACCCACAGCCCTCTCGTACTCCTTTTGGTCTTCCGCGAAAATGAGGTTGGTACCCCAGTTGTTCTTGCCGCCGACGTTCTTGGAGAGCTTGCCGCTGGCTGTGCCAGCTGAAGGCTTGGGAATACTGAAAACGTTGCCTCTGTTGTTCCACTGGAAGTTGCGCTTCAAGTGAATCTTGAAGGTGCCGTCCTCATCGGTCGTGCAAGACGTGCGAATCAGAGTGGCCTGTCCACAGCTAGGGCAAAACTGGCGATCCATCTTCTTGCAGACCTGGAAGCACCCGTGGCACCGCAGGACCCACGTCTTGAGTTGGGTGATGCGCGACATGGACGGCGAGAGCAAATTGAGCCCAATTCTCAGAGCGACGTTCTGCATGGCGTAATCGGAGGTAAGGATTCCGACCTTGATGTCAATTGCAGGCGCAGTCGGCTGCAGCAACTTGCTGTCCTTCTCCTTTTGCTTCTTCACATTGGACGGTGTAATCCAACCGTCTTCAGAATCTGATTCCTCTCCCTGGGCCTCATTGGCGCCAGCGACGCTTGTTACAGCTGGCTCGGATGTTGTCTTGTCGTCCACCTCGAGGTTGCTCATATCTTGTGTAATCTGTGCCGTCTCAACGTCCGATGACGAGGCTTCCACTGTCGCACTCTGCTGAGTTTCGATTTGTGTCTCCTCAGCGCTCTGTTCGATTGAAGTGTCCTCCTGGACGTGAGTGGGCTCCGCCACTTCATCGGTTTCGGTCGCGGGCTTTCCCTGCGACTCACTTTCAGCCTCGGCTTCTGGTACCGGTGTCTCGGCGCCGGATGCCTTGTCGTTAGAAGACCGCGCACCCGGCTGTTTCCTCAGATTCTGGTCGCCTCCGGTCTTCTCAAGCTCAAGCTCGTAGGTCAAGGCAAGCAAGTGCAAATCAGGTCTGCTGAGAACCTCGAGATCACCAGACCGGCGTGCAAAATCGGACACGAATTTGACGCTGTCGGGGCGGGGGTTGCGAAGTTTGACGAAAGGCATGAGGGTAGTCTGAACTCGAG